CACCCCTGCCTACAGGTGATACAGGGGTCCCAGAATAAGGACAAGAAGTAGATGCCCTCTACAGTTCCCTTGGACGTAGTGTCTGTGACTCGTCTCTCAAAATTAAAGCAACACGTCAAGCCTCCTATGGACAGGAGAAGAGAAAGAGGGAGCTGTTAGAAAAATCAGGGAGTAAGTCTTCCAGGACCTGGGATGGTATATGTGCCATCCTGTCCCCCCAGATGCTTATCTGACACAATTTGGGAAATATTGGTTTTCTGATGTGATTTCTGAATCACACTCTGGTTACTACTTGATCACTATCGTCCTATTAGTTCCAGGTCCACAATTAGATGTTGCTTGAACAACCTCATATGTTTGCCCTGTAGGTAATTACAGTGGTTACTGTTCAGTGAATAAATGGCCCATTGTGTTTACAATGGGCTTGGAGTACAATCCATGCCCCTGGTCTAAATCATGTTGGGTGCAAAATATTAACTGGCACCAGTATTTTCTGCCCCATTTGAGATAATGCTCATTTTGATTAGATGGCTTGGCATTACCTTGCCTCTGGCTTTATCCTCCTATAACTTTCTTCTGTGGGCAAAGGCTGCAGTGGCCTAGGAGCACTGCTGACATTCCGAACTGGAGGAACCTGAGAAGTCATCTAGCTCTGGGCTTGTCTCTCCTGGCTGCACAGCAGAATCACTTGGAGAGATTGAAAAAAAAATACAATGCCTTGGTCCCACACCAAACCAACCGAATCGTAATCTCTGTGTCTAGAGGCCAGGCTTCAGGATTATTAAAAAAAAATCTGGCAGGTGATGATGATACACAGGGAGGGCTGAGAACCACAAATACAGCTCAACATCCCTAGTTCCGAATAAGCAGGCTAAAACCTAGAAATGGGAGACATTGAGATATTTGCCATAGCCAGTAAGAGGTAGAAGCGGGACCCCAAAGGTGGGTCTACAGGACTGCAACACCTGTGTTCTTTCTCCCCTTGAAGGCTGTCCACCTGCTTCCTATGTGCTGGCTAGCCCTCCCTCCCCGCCCATTCCCTCAGCATCCGGAAACACCAAGCCTGCTGCTTCACGGCCAGAACTGCAATGCCCAAGCTTTCTGGGCTCTCCTTCCTTCTTTCACACAACCAAGTTCATTTCCAAACACGCTATGACTGAGGCTCTGAGTTATTGAGGCTCAGAGTTAATCCCTATCCAAGGATTTATTTCAGAGAGTACTTTTAAAATTTTAGAGTTTTGTTACCATTTCTGGTTTTATTGCCCTGTTTTGAAAATTTGGCATGGAGTGTGTCTGCTTTTGGAATTTATCGAGATTTTCTTTGTGGCCTATTCTACAATCAATTTTTGTGAAAGTTCCACGGGGCCAGAAAAGAGAATGCAGTCTCAAGTTGTAAGCTATGAAAGTCTTCATCAGGTTTCTTATGTATAACAGGTATAATCAACCAAAATGACTGAGGGGGTACCTGGGTGGCTCAGTGGGTTAAAGCCTCTGCCTTCAGCTCAGGTCATGGTCTCAGGGTCCTGGGATTGAGTCCCGCATGGGGCTCTCTGCTCAGCGGGGAGCCTGCTTCCCCCTCTCTCTGTCTCTCTGCCTGCTTGTGATCTCTTTGTGTCAAATAAATAAATAAAATATTTTTTTAAAAAAGTCATTGAGTATCACATGTTCCATTTTTCTGTTTACTTGATCTGTCAAAGACTAGAAGACTTGTTCAATTTTTCTCTACCGTCTCTGACAATTTCTCCATCTATTTCTACAGTTTTTATTTTATCTGCTTTGATTTTATGTTACTTTGAGCATAAATGTTCATTACAATTACATCTTTATTTCTTAGCAACGTATACCCTTGCCTGGTCCCAAGAGCAGGCAGTTAATAATCATTCCATGAACTGAGAATTAAAATATTTATCAAAGTAAAAAAAAACCAAACCCTGTCATTTTATTACTTTTTTGGTCATTTTATTACTTTTTGGTTTATATTATAACATGCTTGATATTAATATTGAAACCTTTATTTCTACTTGTATTTGCCTGTCATAGAGCTGATCCTCCTTTTATTTGCATTCTATTAAGATTGTTTTAAAGTATATTTCTTGAAAAGAGCACACAATTTTAAAGCATGTAAGCTTATTGCTGTAGTAAGTACTTGATCTTGCACTTACCTTGTTGGCAATATTTTTTTTTTTTTTTTTTTTGAGAGGGAGAGAGGGGAGGCAGTGGGGAGGGACAAAGGGAGAAGGAGAGAGAGAATCTTAAGCAGGCTCTAGGCCCAGCATGGAGCTCGACTCGGGGCTCTCTCTCACAATCCTGAGATCATGACCTGAGTAGAAATCAAGAGTCAGAGGCTTAACTGACTGAGCCACCCAGGCACTCTGGTAGTCTTGCTCTCTTTGTATGCTTCCTGTTTGTTTCCTCTTGTTCTTTTTATACTCACACTATATGTCTACTCCTCTCTATTCTGGGTATATTAATCTTGCTTCTTGTTTCAAACTGTGGGGGTGTCTTTTAATATTCTGAAGAAGGGCAAGTGGTTGAAATCTTGCTGAGGATGAACTTCTGTTGCCTTGACACATGGTTAGAATTTAGCTGGGTATAAAATTCTTGGGCTGCATTTCCCCCCTTTGAAACTACAAAGGGATGCAGAGGAGAAATCTGGGGCCAGTTTGACACTTGTTCATTTGTAGGTATCTGATGTCCTCTGCCTGGATCCCCAAAGAAGGTTTTTTCTTTATTCTTAGATTTCAAAACATTTGCCAAGCTAGATCTTGGTATGACACTCTTGATTTTATCTGAGACACTGGGAATCCTTTAATCTATACCTTCAAGCTTTTCAACTCAGAAAAAAATCTCTATGCATATACAATATAAATGTAGTATTATGTGTAATACCATATTGATTTTATTATATTCATATATATTCTTGTCTTTGCTCCAGAGAGCCTCATTATTTAGATGCTGTCTTTTCTTTTTTTTTTTTTATTTTTAAAGATTTTATTTATTTATTTGGCAGACAGAGATCACAAGTAGGCAGAGAGGCAGGCAGAGAGAGGAGGAAGCAGGCTTCCCACTGAGCCTGATGTGGGGCTCAATCCCAGGACCTTGGGATCATGACCTGAGCTGAAGACAGAGGCTTTAACCCACTGAGCCACCCAGGAGCCCCCTGTCTTTTCATTCTTCAATTCCGTATCGATCATATTTCTTTCCATGACTTCATCTCTGGTTCCTTGTCCTTTACAGCTCATAAGAGCATCTCATTCTATTCCATATCTTTTATTATGGGATGTGTGCATATTTAGTTTCGCTCATTTCTGGTAAAGCAGCTGGGTTACTCATGGACCCAACAGCAGGGCACAAGTTCTTTCTTCCTCATATCCTGGCCAATAATTGGTATTATCTCCTTTCCTACTTTTTGCCGATCTTTCTGGGACATTGTGGCACTTCATTATTATTTGACTTTGCAGCCCTTAGCCCTTGAGGTTCTTTGATCTATGAGTTTGTTGACCTGCTTTTCAACAGCCTCACTTTTAAGCTTTACTCTCCCTAACATAATTTTATGATGTTATTGAGATTTTCCATTTCCTAAAAGTTGTTTAGGATCACACTCCCTTCTTACCCTGTTGTCTTATCTCAGACTAGTCCAGGGAGACCCTGTTTTTTTCTGCATATGACTGAGGATGCTAAATGTTTTTCTGAAGTTTTCTTCTTTGTTCTGCAATAGATCATTTTCAGAGGTGGACTCTTCCTCTGCTTCTTGTGGGTATGATGCACCTTTGATTATTTTTGCAATACTTTTTCAAAGGCTGAATGTCAGCTGTTCCCAGTGTACTCATTGTCAAAAACAAGGCAGGTCTTTTCAGAGTTGGCTTATCAAATAACACAATGCATGGATTGCCTGTGACCCATTTTCTGTCTTTTAACATTATAATTGAATATTTTTCCCAGAAAAATCTTTGAGCAGTCTTTAGTGTCCAGAAGGCTCTCACTTTTTGCTGTTTTATGCTAATGAGTGACATCTTTGTCCTCAGTGCCTAATTTTCTGATGCTCTGAATCAACACATTACATTATATTTCCATCATACATTCCTGCCAGGGTTTTTCTTTCTTGCCCATAAAACTTTACTTGCGAGGTTTCTGCCTCCCAGGATGCAATGCACTCCTAGTGTCCTCCTGTCTTCTTCCTATTCAGCTTTTCCTAGGAATGTATAGGTCTCTTTGAATTTGCAAAGAGAGATGAAAGTGAAGAGAAGAAAGCATCTTGGTTGCTTCAAAGGTAAGCAACTGTGAGTAGAGGTGTAGCTATCCAAAGTTCTGATTGGTAAAGCCCTGGGTCCCTAACTCAGATTGTGGGAGAGAGAGGGAAAAGTCTATTATTTTTCACAATGATTATTGTCTTATTAGGCAATGTTCAGAGTGCCAGAAGGCAAAGTTTTGTAGGATTTTATCAATCTAGATCCATCTATTTGAAATCATTGAAGTTGCCAAACATCTAGAATGTGAGTTGGTCATAGAGCCCCTCGGTTCTTTGAGGTAAGAATCACTGTCCATTTTACAGCTGAAGAAACCATGGAAAAGAAAGGCGATGTAGTTGTGCAAGGTCAGTACAGGAGTGACAAAACTGGCGTTTTAACTTCATATCCTGTTCTCTTTCTTCATTCAGCTCTGAAGAGGCAGTCCCAGCTGAGATGGGGCAATGATCTGGGGTCTTGTTCCTTCTTCTGAGACCCTATAGCACAGCCATGAGGCAGCTGATTCCAAGGCTTCCAGAATCTCTCACACATAGCACTTTTCCATGGTGGGCATGGCTAGTCCTGGGGGATTCTGGGGGACTCACCTTAACCAGCAGATTGAAGTGGGGAGAGAGTTGTCAGCATCTCTCTCTGGGGGGGAATTTCCAGCCTGGCATGAAATATTTTGTGAGGTTTAGGGTCTGCATATGGAAATGCAAATCACTTTAACATTAAGCTGAGGCCACTATGAGGCCACTTTAGGGAGCAGGGGGAAATGGGCTTCATTAAGCCTGTCTCTATGACTGTGAGAACAAGGGCATCATTTCTTCTAGGTGTCTGCCTTCCTCACCTCTGAATATGATGATGGATGAAGGATTTCGAAGGTTTCTCGCAACCACACAATTCGGCTCTTCTCTCCAATGGTTGAGGAAAATGATGAAGTCTGTTAGCTTTGTGTGGGTATGTGTTTCGTTGGCTCTGATTTATTCAGATAATTGCCTTTGTGTCTCATTTCTCTTTGCAGATGTAAGCCCAGATGAAAAATGTAAATACACCTCCCAACTTCGGGATCTTTATTAAATTCCAAGCCACTGATGAATTCTTGCCTAAATGCAATTCATTCTTTCCCTGATTTGGGGCCTCTGAGTTTAACTTTCCTGGGGAGCGATGACAATTTTCAGGTGGGAAGTAGGACCAAGAGCGGCTCTCATTGCTAAATCCTAGGTGAGAGACCCAGGCCAGAAGCAAGGCGGCGGGGGGGCGGGGGGGGGGGGGGGGCGGCTGAGGGGGCAGAATATGATGGAGGCTTGCTCTTTTCTCTGCTCCCTTTAATCTTTTTCCATGGGTTTGCTGACTGTTTCTGTAATTAAATGAGGGAAGTATTTGTCATCTCGGGTCCCTTTCAGCCAAGATGAATGGAATGCAACTTTCTCAGGAAGCCTCTGACAAAACCCTGTTTGTGGCCAGTGCCAGGACATATACAAAGGCACTGGGCTGGGGGCATTGGGAACTCGGGCCCGCTTCAGGTCCTCGCCAGGTCGCTGCTGCACCCGAGCCCTGGCGAGAAAATGTTTGGACACAGAGTGCCTCTCCACAGAGGCCCACGAGAGTAATGTGCTGTGGGGCGGCCTCAAAGCATTTCCCGAGTTAACGAGGGGAAAGGAATGCCTGGACTTGGGGTGTTTTTGAAGCCCTATTCCCATAAAAGGCCCACTGGGGCGTCATGCAGAGACTTGCTCTAAGGTTGGAAGGCTTTTCAGTCCGAGAGCCCGGGCTGGAGCCACTTGGAGAACCATCATTTCTCCTTCCTGTTGATGAGCTTCCATCTGGAATCACTCAGAGGGGCAGAGCCAGCTGGGCTTTCACTACCCACCTTGATGCCATGTTCTTCTGGGGAGCTCGAAACAGCTTGTGAGGAAGGTAGAGGAAGCATCATTGTCTTTGTTCCTCACTGAGTAACTGAGGCATAGGGAGGTGTGGTGACCTGCCTGAGACCGTGCAGCTGGTAAGGGGCGGAGCTGGGATTTGAGCTCGGGTAGTCTGGCTCCTTTAAATTATTGTGTGATGAGCACCTGCCATGGGCCAAACACGGCATGAAGGGCTCAGCATTCACGTTCTCATTTAATGAGTAAAACGACCCTATGAGGTAGATACTTCTCTGATCTGCACTTTTCAGATGAGGAGACTGAGGCTCAGAGAGGTTAAGTCACTTGCACTTGGTCACACAGCCAGCAACAGGCAGAGCAGGGAGACTCCATCAACCTTTGCTCATTCTGCAGACTGCTCTACTTCTCATCTGTAATTAACAATGTCTAAAACAAGTTTACTTCTTTAGTCTAACTTTGATCTTCATCAAAACCCACCGTGTTGGTAGAGTAGACTTTATGACTCTCATTCTCCAAATAAGAAAACTGAAACTCAGAGAGGTTAAGTGACTTGCTCAAAATCACCCGTTAGCAAGTAGCAAGGCTAGGGCTTGACCTTGGGACTTTCATTTTCGGCATGTAGCTCTCTCTCCAACATTCAAAGCTGTTTCTTGAGGAGGTACCCCGAAAAAGACAAGAAAGCAACCAGGGCAATTTAAAAGAAAGAAAGATTAAGAAGAAACAAAATCTGCTTAAAAGAAACAACAATAATACTGAATCGCTGGCTTGTTATGCTTTTGATTCCCTAGGATGGTCCAATTCAATTATATGAAACAGAACTCATATGTGTGTATGTGGATATATATATACACATATATACATATATATATGTATATATAAAATTTTATTTTATCATTTAAGAGAAAATTCTTCCTATTTTTCTTTTTAAACTTTTATCATGATATAAAAGCTATGTCTAACTGTATAAGTATATGAAATATCTATGTTCCGTTTAAGGAGTAATAACGAAACCAATATCCAACTGCCCATCACCCAGTTTAAGAAATAGCTTTTATTTACTTGTAAATATTAAATTGTAAAGTAATTTACTTTTTTTGCTCTTTTAGATACAACCTTTTGTGATTTTTACTTCTTCCTTCCCTGCCTCGGCTTTTCTCTCATTATTTTATATAAAGGAGTTAGAAAACAAATATTACTTCCTCGAATCCTTTCTTTCCTTTTTATTTAAGTCAGAGATCAGAATAAAATAGAGAGACATGGAAACCAAGACAGTGCTGAGAAAGCAGTATGGTCCATAAGGTAGGGACTCAGGGCCTCAGTGTGGACGGGCTGGGGCTGAATGCCAGCCCTGCTGTTCACCAAGCAGCACCGGAACCCTCCTCTGCCTGTTGGGATCCGTCTCCTCTCTGTAATCCAGGGTGACTCACTCCACCCCACTCCCATCTCAGGATCCGAGGACAATGATGGCTAATGTCAGATCACAACTTCTAGACTTAGACATTATGGGGCTTCAGTGGTGTTTCTCACCCTTATGTAAGGCCTCTTAACTCAAAGATTTTTCCTCTCAGTAATACCTCAATCCCAAGGAAGGCGGAGGGAAGAGAAGTACACCCATTTCACAGAGGAGATGCTTCGGTGAATGAATGGGTTTGCTCGCTGTGACGTGGCTGCCGCCAAGCAGAGACACAATTCTAAATCAATCAGGCCTTCTAAATCCTGATCAAGTGAATTTTAAATGGCTTGTTAATTAAAAAAAATAATAATGATTATATTGCTTGTCTAATTGTGTACAATTAGGATGTATGTCTTTAATTTTCTCTTAAACTTCTGGTAAAATATTCCATTTCCCCCTCACTGCTGTACAGGTGACAAATGTAAGAAATTAGCAAATTACATTAGAATCCTCTTTGGCTTCCTCAGCTCCTTTGCACTTTGCTTTCAGCTGATGTCTTTATGGGTAAGAAGTGCTCTCGTGTGATCACAGCTGTGAAGCCAACTGCCTTTTAATTACCACACTGCAAAAATCATGTCTCCTCATGTCAATTTAGCACCTCTAATTAGTGAATGGGTTGAGATCACATCTGTAGGGGGAGAAAGGTGTGCTGTGGCCCACCTCAATGCTTGCAGTGAAAGAGGATGTAGCATTTCTATCTGTTGGATCCTCCCATTTCCTCATGGACAGCTCCTACTCATCTGTCCAGGCCTGCTCATGGCCACCTCTTCCAGGGAGACTTCCCTGCTATCCCTCAGTTCTCCTAGCAGCTGTCACAGAAAAAGCATTCAACTATGTATCGATAAATGAATGTATGAGTGAATGCAAAGGGAGCAAACTTAGTATGTGGGGTCCCAGAGAGTAAAGCAGAATTGATATATGACTCTCTCAGGGAGCCCAATGTGGATCAACATCCGGGAGAAATATTTAATAGTGAGATATTCAAGAAGGAATCAAAATCTTACAAAGTACTGAGTTCTCCATCACTGGAGGTATTCAAGGAGATGCTCAAGAATCACCTATCTATCAGGGTTGTGGAGGGGATTCTCAAACCAACAGGGGGTTTGCACGAGTCAGTGTCTGCTGATGGCAAACCTAGTGATTTTAGTTGAGCCCCAGATTAATATTTTATATCTCAATAGGTACATTTTCTTTTTTATATTTATATTTATATTTTATATCTCAATAGGTACACTTTCTTTTTTTATATTGATATTTATATTTTATATCTCAATAGTTACATTTTCTTTTTTTATACTTTTATACCATCTTCTTAGAAAATGATACAGATTTCCCATTCATGGTATTTAAATAAAAGGATATGTGTATTTAAAGGAAAATACTAAATCAGTTAACAATACAAGTGGTAGACCCAAGGGTCTTGGAGGTCTGGGAAACACTGGATTGCAGGTTCATTAAGGAGTCCTATAAGAATATACAGTCCTCAGAAATAAAAATCTCCTACTCAAATCTCTGTTACTTTTCATTAGATTAAGTCATAATATGCATTTAAACAATATATCATGAGCTAGACTCTTATCTGGGCACTGGAGAATAAGCACTATCAGAAGGGCCACAAAGGGGGTAGATGGACCTCTCCAATCAAATGAATTACATTCAAAAAAGAGAAATAACCGTGCAAGTAGAAATGGCTTAAGAGGGTTGCCATAGTTAGCAATACTGGGGACATACTTGTGATGAAAGACTATTCTTTATTTGCCTGAAATCTTTTAATTTAACTGGACACCTGGCTTCTATCATGACTCCTGAGTCACCATCCACACCAGAGATGGTAAATAGACTTGAGCCTATGTGGCGTCACGAGCACGTTGATAGTGGCGGCCAGAGATGTGGGTTAAGTCGCTGAAGAGCATGAGGTCACACTTGTAATTAGCATGGGACGGGGAAGCAAGGGCACCTCCGTCATTCGTGTATGCGCCATCCTGAACTTGTCCAATTCCTCATTTTAACCCACAGGGGGACCGGAGAAGACAAGGGACTTGCCCAGGTTCCCAGCCCGAGTCCACAGCTGGGCTGGGCGAAACTTATCTGCTGCCCCATGCCGCCTGCTCAGAATCAAATCAGAATGCCACCAACGCCGGGATTATGTAATTCCAGGCTCTCCTCGGCAAACACGACCACCCACATCACCGGCCAGAACGCACACAGCCTGTCGAAGCCGCCACCTGGTCCAATTTATCATCAGGACTCCATTTGAACGCCCCAGAATAACACAAAAGATGGGAAACCAAAGCCATTTACACGGAGAGAGTTCCGTGGAAGGCCATGTTGTGATGGAGGGCACGCAGGGGTCTGAACCACGGCATTCCTTACGTAACATCTCGGGGGCGCACGCTAGGACAATTTCCCATTTGACTCTTGGTAGCACCCACAAGCATGTGGGCTTTCCTCTAAAGCAGACACAGCATGGGCTGTTCACTGCAATGATGGCACTGAGCCGAATCGGGGCTGCTTCTCCGCCTTTCTCCTGACCCCCTCCCCTTTCTGGGCCCGGACTCCCCTTGCCGTTAAAATAAGGAAATGGTCCTGGGTGGTTTTTTATTTCAGCTCTACCCTTTCATGACTTTGCAATTCTGCATTTGATTTACAGACCAAGGAGGAATTCGTTTTTTCCGTGAGGGAACGAAAACTGTGGCACTTGGGAGATTTGGTCAGGGGGGGTCTGAAACCAGCCTCTTCCAAGATAGTTAGGCGGTCTGATTGTTTTAGATCTCCATTTGGGTATCAGCCTTTTATTTTCTGCTCTTCTTAATCAAATTCATTCATTAGTTTTTCTCATCAGTTCAGCAATCATTTATTTTCTAGAAAAATTACAGATGCATTCCCTTAACCCCCCCATAATCCCCCTTCTAGGAGTTCATCCCCAATTCACACTGGCACCCCTATGAAACAGTGTGGCTCAGGTTATTCCAACAGACTGGAAACAACCCAAATGTTCATTGATAGAGGACTGGCTGTCCCAACTGCAGTTCATGCACATCGACAAGTGCTATGTAGCTGTAAAAAAAAAAAAAAAAGAAAGAAAGAAAAAATAGGGAATATCTTTATATAGTGACAAAACAGAGAGCTCTGGGAAAATTAAGGGGAAAAAAAGCAAAGTGCAGGACAGCATATGCAGTAGGCACCCTTTTGCATAAGATAGAGGAAGAGGAATAAAGACACACATTTATGTATATCTGGAATGAGAAACACTGGAGGGATAATGAAAAATGGCTAAATACAGGAGAGGCATAGAACAGAACAGAGGGAAGCTGTATGGGGTCCAGAAATTCTCTACTTGTTACATCCTTTTTGACTGTGGAATCATCTAAAAGTTGTGTAGGTTTTAAAAATAAAATTGATCAACACAAAGAAAGCAATCCCTAAGAACTGAAAACAAAGGCACTTACACATGTATCCATCACACTGAGAAAAATCGGTAAAGGGACGTCTGGTTATCTCTCCACTGTCCGACCAGGAGAGAGATCTAGTCTCCTCCACCCGCCCGCCACCTCCCACACTCACAGCTTTTAACTGTGAAGCTCTTCAAACCTACAAAAAGGTTGAAAGAACAGTACATGAACACCATATCCCCTTCACCATTCAGTATTTTCCACATCTGCTTTCCTCTCTGTAAAAATACACATACACACACACGTATACACACATACACAGAGACGCACATACACACACACACGTCTTTGTTTCTGATGCATTCGAAATTATAATCTTTGACACTTCACTCCGTCCAGAAGATTCTGGAAGATTCCCCGGAGCTTGATCGCAGTGTCCTCACCACACTTAGGAGAATGAAGAGCACTTCAGTACCATCCAATGGTCAGTCTACCCTGATTTCTCCGGTTTCCCCAAAATGTCCTTTTGGATGTTAAAAATCGGGATCTAATCAGCATCCATGCCTCCCATTTGGCTTCTATATTTTTATAACCTCTTTTCATCTAAGAATAGCCTCCGGCCTTTCAGTTGTTGTTTTTGTTGTTTTCCACAACATTAACTTTTCTGAAGAATCCAGGCCAGGTGGCTTGTAAAATGCTCTAGATGGGTGTGATTATTTCCTTATAGTCATATTCAAGTTTAAATGTTTTTGTTTAAAACATGAAGAAGTCTATTTTCTAGTTCAGTCCACAAAAAAAAAAAAAAAAAGAAAATCCTAGAAGCAATGAACACCAGTAGCAATGAGCAGAGTTAGATCCCAGATCTTGGTCCCTAAATATAATTCCCCAGCAGAAAGAATGGGGAAAGCTTGAAGAAATGGCTGGCTCCAAATTTAAGGCAGATAAATATATTAAGTGCCCAGAGGAATGGAGAAGGTAGGAGGGGAGGGAAGGGGGCAGGAGGGAACGAGAGCGTCAAAAAAGGGAATGCTCTTCTGCAAAGAAGAACACCAGCTTCAGTGCAGAAGGGAGGGAGTTGGGGGTCACCTGGGTGGCTCAGTCGGTTAAGTGTCTGCCTTCAGCTCAGGTCATGATCCCAGGGCCCAGGGATCAAGCCCCACGTGCGGCTCCCAGCTCAGCAGGAAGTCTGCTTCTCCCTCTCCCACTCCCCGTGCTTGTATTCCCTCTCTCACTCTCTCTCTCTCTCTCTCTGTCAAATAAATAAATAAAATATTTAATAAAAAAAAAAAGGGAGGGAGTTCGGTCAGAAAATGGCCATCTTGCAGCCCCGATGTGACAGTGGCTTGGCCAGGACCATCAACTGAGTCTCAAACCATCTGGTAAAAGATGGTGGGGGACCAGGACATGAGCCTCGAAGTCTCACCCCACAGGTTACTTAATAATTACTAAGGGGAGGAGGTATCTTTACAATAAATCTAGCAGATGCCACCTTAGCCAAAGGATTGAGTTTCGCATCACTGAGAAGGTTTCAAAGGTGGGCCTCCTGACTCAAAGCAGTGGGAAGAACATGGTATAAAAGAGGATTCTGGCCAGAACTGTTTATCCGGAATCTAGCTGTGAAGAAATGATCAAATCCAGATTTGGGATTTGGGGACATTTTCTAAAACAACTGGCTTGAGCCTTTTAGAAAGGTCAATGTCCCATAAGCCAAAAAAAAAAAAAAAAAAAAGTAGGAGATTAAAAGTAGTAGATTCGGGGGCCTGGGTGGCTCAGTGGGTTAAGCCTCTGCCTTCGGCTCAGGTCATGATCTCAGGGTCCTGGGATTGAGCCCCACAAAGGGCTCTCTGCTCAGAAGGGAGCCTGCTTCCCCCTACCCCCTGCCTGCCTCTCTGCCTACTTGTGATCTCTGTCAAATAAATAAATAAATAAAAATCTTAAAAAAAAAAAAAAGGCAGTAGATTCAAGGAGACTAAGCATGTGATCGGACTTACACTGTATGCTACCTGACTGGTCCCTCCCACCCCCAAATAAATGGCACTAAAGACATTCTGGGGACAACTGGGGGAATCTGAATATGGGTCATGTAACAGTTTAGATTATTGTATCACTGTTCATTTTTTAGGTGTGATCATTATATTGTGGTGATATACGAGGATATAATTGCTCTTAGGAGACTTGTGCTGACATATTTAGTGGTGAAGTGTCATTATGTCTGCAAGCTGCTGTCAAGAGTTTCAGCAAAAATATGAGTGTGGTGGGGGTTAGGCAGGGGAAAGAGAGGGTACGAAAGACCAAAAAGGCAAAACATAGACGATCGGCGTCCCTATGTAAAGGTAGAGGATGTTCACTGCACTTTCTTTTAATTTTTGTAGGCTTAAATATTTTTCCAAAAGACTGGAAGAAAATTTGGAGGAAAGGTAGAAATATTAAGTAGAGCAGCAAAAACACTGCATTAAAAAATAATGTCTGTGACTGATTGGAATACAGCCCATTTAATATATTTTTAAAAGATCCATGAATTCATAATGCTACTTGCATAAAAGGGAAAGACTGAGAAAGAGAGAACCCCAAACCAAACAAAATGATTCCTGGAGGTTCTCCTAGATTCCAGGCCACATGCTGGGCTCTTGGTTCCAACCGACAACAAGGGAGATGTGGTCCCACCTCCCTCCCCCCGCAAGGTGCCCCTGATGGAAGGGACTGACATTACCAGGCAAGCTCTAGGCTGAACAGAAAACTGAACCTTCGATGAAAAGGTGGGGAGACAGGTGTTACAGATGTGTCCCCTGGAGGCCATGATCTGGCTGGAGAGGTTTCCCAAGGAAGTGGTGATCAACCTGGGAATTGAGGAAAGATCGCTTTTTGCTAGTGAGGGCTGCTGGGGTGGGCTTGGCTGTGCTGAGGATCCATGTCCCCAGGACTCCAGCCACAGGCCTGGAGTTTCAGAAGACACCCAGGATGAACAAGGACATGCAAAGCCAACATTCCATCTTAGAAGGAACCAGGACACTGTGTGGGAGCCTGGGGGAAATCCGGGAACACTGTGCTGGGGTCAGCATCTGGGTAGAGTCTCGATAATCATCTAACCCAGGGTCGTTTGTCTCAGGTTGAGCGCTTCCCACTTTATAAGGCTCAATCTCTGCTTCATGGAAATAATAAATTATTTAATTGTCTTGGTAAACAGAGCCAAAGCAAAAGTCTTCTGTATAATTCAACACTAAAGTAGGCCAGGCTCTATTTAAAAAAAAAAAAAAAAAAAAAAAAAAAAGCCAACCCATTCATTATAAAACCACCCAGAGTAGAACTCCAAGTACTATATGCTTGAAATACTTAGCATAGTTATTGATTTCCACCAACAACCAGTCATCTGGTTTTTTATTTCAAAGGAACCATTTGTTTTTTATACACAACAAGTCACTGGACGAGGAATAGGTTTAAAAGTGGTGTGTGTGTGTGTGTGTGTGTGTGTGTGCGCGCGCTCGTGCGTGTACGGATGTGATGAAGGATTTACAGGGAGAAGACAGGTCCGTACTGAGAGGCTCCAGCAGGAGGCTCCTTGCCAAGGTAAGCTAGGGAGGGACCTCAGGGACACAGAGGGAGCCTCCATGGTCTCCAAAGATCCCACTCCCACAGCCTGAGGTCTGTTCACTGCAAGAAGCAGGGCAAGTCTCTTCAATCTTTGCATCTCATTTTCCTCATTCTATCCTTTTTTAGAGATTTTATTTATTTACTTGAAAGAAAGAGAACTCGAGCAGGGGGGAGGGGCAGAGGGAGAGGGAGAAGCAGACTCTCCGCTGAGCACGGAGCCTGACATGGGGCTCAATCCCAGGACCCTGAGATCCCAGGCCCAACCCAGGAGCTGGTAGAGGAGGGAATCACATGTAAGGCACAAGAGGGGAGAAGAGAGGTTTAAGGCAGGTGCTGATGGTTTTAAGCTACAAGGCTTCGGGAATAATGACATGATATCATCAGCTGACCTAACCCTCTCCCTTTATAGTAGGAGACCCGAGAGGGCAAAGGATGTGCAGAGGCCACACAGCTAGTCCCAGGCTGCTGAACCCAGATCCCAGGGCTCCAGCTCTTCCTGGAAGGTAGACCAGAAGGCCACCATGGTCCTTGAAGTGGAGGGAAGAGGAATGCAAACCATGGTACAGGCAACCCTGAGTGTCTCGTCTTATCCCATAACCAGCCCATGGTCTGCCATCCCATTGCCATGTCACAGATGAGGAGCTGAGACCAGGAGACGCTAAGTGACCTGCTCAGGGTCACCAACTAGTGCTAGAGCCTGGACATGAGCCACAGCCCATGTGATGCCAAGCCCAAGAGACTGTCCCTATAACAAGCTGACCAAGCACATTAGCACCTCTGGGCCTCTGGGCACAGCCTTATGGAATGCAATAAACATAGGGCAGTCGGTTCCATGCCATGACACAAACCCCATGCTTCCGTCCCAGAGCCCCTGCCCAGCAGCCTCCAAGCCCCCCAGGGCCCACCTCATACAAGCA